TTCATTTTTCAAAATTTCACTTCCTTCTCAGGGCTCCCATCGGAAGTTGAGTGCACTCCTCACAGAGCACTGATGATTTTGATTCACTCCATAAGTACTCACTGAGCACCTATATTGTATGCCAGGCACTCTCCTAGGCAGTCAACGAGTCAGGCAAAGAGCTCTGCCCTCTTGGAGTTGACATGCCAGTGCAGAGGAGTGTCTTAGTTATTTAGTGCTACTATAACAGAAATTCCACAAGCTTTAACAAACAGAAATTTATTCACACAGTTTAGGAGACGAGAAGTCTGAACTCAGTGCACCAACTCTAGTGGAAGGCCTTCTCTCTGTGTTGGCTGACAACTAGGAGGGAAGTCCTTGTCTCCTCTCAGCCTCTGTGGGCCCAGTGCTCCTTGGAGATCTCCATGTATCTTGGCATCCATCTTCCCCTGGGTCTGGGAGGATCCCAGCACAGGGACTTGAGGTCTAAAGGATGCTCTCTGCTCCCAGCTCTTCTTTCTTGGTGGTAGTAGGTCCCTGTGATTTCTGCCACTTGTTTAATGCCTTTTATATCTCAAAAGAGATTGACTCAAGATACACTCTATATCCTGCCTCATTAACATAAATGCCTCTACACCTGCCTCATTAATGTTCTAGAGGTGAGGATTCACAACACATAGGATGATTACATCAGATCACAAAATGGAGGATAATTACATTATTCAGCCAAGTTGATACATATTTTGGAGTGTGTGTGTGTGTGGGGTGGAACGACACACAATTCAATCCATAACAAGGAGACAGGCAAAAAAACAAGTGAACAAAATAGTTTCAGAATGTAAGTGCACAGTTTTCCTCCATGGAGTCTCTCTCTCCACGTGGTCTCTCATCACTTGTAAGTCTAACCTGAGCTGCTTTACCTGGCAGCCCTCTTCCAAGTGGGCAAAACTGGAAGCTGCAAAAGTCCCTGAAGGTCTAACCTGAAGTCACACATCACTTCCATCATATTCTTTGATTTGCAAATCACAAAAACAGCCCAGGTTCCAACATAGAGGAAAGAGAGCTATACCATTCAATTGGAGAAATGGCAAAGTCACATTTCAAAAGGGCATGCAAGCTGGGAGGGCTGGTTGGATATGAATTCACTTACATGACATAAGTGAGTATATAGAAACCAAAGATTATTAGTGGTTACCAAGGGTGGGAGGGAGGAGAAAAAGAGGAGTTTTTGCTTAGGGAGCACTGAAGTTATGTTAATGGTGGTGGAATGATTTGGACAAGGATAGTGAGAATGGTGGTGTAACTGGAAGCATGTAATCTCATGTGTAACACACCACCACTTCTGCCATGTGCTATTAGTTAGAAGCAAGTTACTCCATACAGCCCACACTAAAAAGGGGAGGGGGCGAAACTGGGCTCCTCCTTTTGATGGAAGGAGTATCAAAGACCACCACAAACTTTTTGGCTCATCTTCCTGCTTCCAAAATTCCCTTCTCTGATCCATCCACAACACATGAAATCCCTTAATTTTCCCAAAGGACAACTGTTCATGTCACCCTCCAGCTCAGAAACCTTATCTCACTGCCCACAGCTCAGGGAACTCCTTAAAGTTGGCTTCCAAGGCTGTGGTGCAGTAAATTACTTGGCATGCCTCTTCTAGCCATGGTCTTTGTGGTACCCACCAGATGACTGGGTGGAACCGTGAGGCACGAGGCAGAGCAGCAAGCTTGGTGGCCCAGAGAGAGAAATCCGAGTGCCTTTGTACTGGAGGCTTGCTGGCAGAGTGGGGTGCACCTAGGTGTACCTATGGGCAGAGCTAAAAGAGCTAACACTTGCCTCAGCAGGGCAGAGGCCAGGCCAAGAGGCCCAGGGACAAAGAGAAGCGTGCCTGGGGGCATAGCTGAGGGAAGACTGTCCTGATTGAAAAATAGTATCCTGAGCATTCCTGAACCTGAATTTTAACCGTTACTCAACAGCATCTAACAATTCTTCCTTGAGAACAGGGACCTTGAGTGTTTCGGTCACTTCTGTGACCCCATAAACCCAGTTTCAACCTCAGTGCCTGGCACACAGTAGGTGCTCAATAAGTATTTGTTGAATTAAATGTCCTCTTTTCTATGGAATTATCTTATAATGGATAATACATTGAATAAATGTCTGTTGAAAAAGAAAAAACAAAAAACAGAGTGAACATGCTATGTCCCTGAACTCCCCATCCCATCCTGTCATCTTTAATGTGTCTGGGAGGGGGTCCATAGCTAGGATCCTTTGAGGGCCTAGACTCTGCATTCAATCTTTCTCTTTCCAGTATCCATCTTAAAACCAAACTCACTGCTGTCAAGTCGATGAGTGCCCGACCCCTCCTTGGGTTTCCAAGGTGCTACTTCTACTGAAATAGATTGCACAGTCTGCCATCTGAGGAGTGGCTGATGAGTTTGAACCACCAGCCTTCTAGTTAGTCAAATACCTTAGGCACCATGCCACCAAAGCTGGGAGACAGTAAGTCTTAATGTTTGTTTAATGGGTGGATGGATGGATGAAGAGAAGGGAGGGAGAAGTGGTAGAACAATAGATGGATTTTCTTTTTTTTTACTGAGATGAAAACCTATTCCAAATCAGGCAGGCTGGCTGTGAATACGGTTAGGGACTGTTCAGATGTTCTGGAATTCTGATGATACTACTGCTACTAGCAGCTACAGAACCAGAATAAGACCTCTGAAAAGCTGTAAGCACTGAAAAGATGACAGTGCCATCATGTCATTTAAAATAAAACAAATATAAAGTGGGAGAAGTATTAAAATGTTGGAAAATTCAGAAAGCTTTTATTTTTCCCATGATCACTACTTTGATAGTTTTTCTGAAATGCCAAATACAAACCAGGTACTGTCATTTTTTTTTCTCATTTTTTTTCCGTGTCTCTATTTTGTGGATACCTGGGAATTCATTGGAGAATCTAGTCCAAGATAATTAATACTTATTGAGTATTTACTAGGGTCAGGGATGTGTTTACACCCATTATCCATATAACCTGTAAAGCAACGTATGAGGAAAAAATTGCATTATCCCCATTTTAAGGATAACCAAAAGGGAACTGGATATGAACACAGAATATGTGACTCCAAAGGCATTAAATCGTTAAGCTTTTCAGCTTCCTAGGCTGTAAGTGATCTCCAGGTCTTGCCAATAAATCGGCGGAGGGAGCTGGAGCAGGCCTTCACCTTCTTCCAAGAGTCCTGTGCCTTTAAGAAGCGTCCCCTCCCGCGGAGGATGCTCCAATTACCCTCCCAGGCAGCCAGAGCAGCACCCCGCCCCCACCCGCGTCCACAGAGCCGCGCCTCGGCCCTCCCCCAGCCCCACACCCTCCAGCTCGGGTCTCAGCCCTCGCCCGCTCCGAAGGGGTGAGCTCTGCAGCTAGAGCGTGTAGTCCACGGTCCCGGACCGTGCGTGCTGCGCTCCAGCGTAATGCCACTTTCGGAACCCTAATCTCTACCCCTCCCAGCTCCAGATCCTCAAGGGCAGGGTTCCAGCGCCCCCTCCCATCGACCGGGCCCGCCGCGCCATGAAGGTGACCTCCCCCGGGGCAGCACATGCCCCGCGGTACCCAAGCCGGCTCACACGTGGGAAACGGGCAGTGCGCGCCCCCTCTCTGCCACGCGCTTGCGTTCCGACCACGCCCCTTGGGCTGGCTCCGCCTCTGTGCCCGCGCACGCTTCTCCCCGGGTGAGGGGAGGAAAGCGCCCTAGTGGGCCTCTAGGCTGGCCGCCGGGTGGGATGGGACCTGGCATTAGAGCACCCACGCATCCTCTAACCTCGGCCCGGCCAGAGGACCGTGAAAAACGGGAAAGCCGTTCTGCTCAGAACCTTTGGCTGGCAGGAAGGTGCCCAGCCCTTTCGTGTGCTGAGCCGGGGAGAGGGTTGGGACCGACGTCAGCGTCCTCGGTGATCCGTTTTTGTAAAGTGGTCGTCTTATTCTCTTCTTTCTCAGCGTCCTTGTGGCCCCTCAAACGAGATAAGAAAAAACGAAAGGGATTCGTTGGTTGGATCCAAAAGCATTTGTTGAGCTCATAATATAGCGGGCTACATCTCTGCACAAGATGTATGAACCCTTTAAGGATCTTGTGGCGACCATATCCTGAGCTTTGCCCACCCCCCAAAATTCTGCTCTGGGACGGTCCCAGAAGACGTCCGGAAAAGAGGAGGGGGCGGAGGTCCTTCAGACCTGCCCGCAAGTGTCACTGAATAAGCTAAAATTTCAAAGGCAATTCGAGGCGGGGACAAGATTTGAGAACCAGATGGGGAGCATGCTTGACGTCCTCCCCACCCTCCCTCTAGCCCCTATCCTAAGAAAAGAAACCGATCTCATCAGTCTCCCCCCTATCCCGGTCGCAAGACCGCCCAACCCCGCAGCCTGAGCCCCGCCCCATCCCTAAGACCAGCGATTGGGAGATGCAAATACCGGGTTCTCTGCCCAGCAACCGGTGACGCGCCGCCCGAGCGCGAGGCGTGGCCGGGCCGCAGCCCGAGCGGGCAGGCACCTCGGTGTTTACACGGGGCGGCCCCGCGCGCGCCGCAGCGGCCCGCAGACGGCGAGGGGGAGGGGTGGCGCGCGCGCCGGCGGGGCCGCGCGGGGAGAAAGACACTGGAAGGCGGTGGCGGTGGGGCGGGGAGCGGCGCGCGCGGGCCGCGGCGGAGAAGGCGGCTGCAAGGAGAGCCTGCGGGGGCCAGTGGCCCGAGGGGCGCGATTCCTTCGCCCCCGCAAAACAATGTGTGGCGAACAGCGGGACGCAACTTGCCGGAGGCGGCGGGGGCGCGCCGAGCCCGCCTGAGTCCGCGTTGCTGACCTTCTCCCCCCGCCGTCCGTTGGGCCGGAGAGCCCAGTTCTTAGCTCCTCAGCTCGCGGGGGCCGGGCCGAGCCGCGGGGCGGGGCCGCCCCTCCGTCGCTGCTGCCTCCTCCCCCACCCCCAGCCGCGGAGGATGCTGACTGCCCCCGGCGGCGTCTAGCGGCCCCGGGCCCGAGCGCGATGGTGCAGCAGCGGGGCGCGAGGGCCAAGCGGGATGGCGGGCCGCCGCCCCCGGGGCCCGGGACTACCGAGGAGGGGGCGCGCGAGCCCGGCTGGTGCAAGACCCCGAGCGGCCACATCAAGAGGCCAATGAACGCGTTCATGGTGTGGTCGCAGCACGAACGGCGGAAGATCATGGACCAGTGGCCCGACATGCACAACGCCGAGATCTCCAAGCGCCTGGGCCGCCGCTGGCAGCTGCTGCAGGACTCAGAGAAGATCCCGTTCGTGCGGGAGGCGGAGCGGCTGCGACTCAAGCACATGGCGGATTACCCGGACTACAAGTACCGGCCGCGCAAAAAGAGCAAGGGGGCGCCCGCTAAGGCGCGGCCCCGCCCCCCCGGCGGCAGCGGCGGCGGCAGTCGGCTCAAGCCCGGGGCGCAGCTGCCTGGCCGTGGGGGCCGCCGAGCGCCGGGAGGGCCTTTGGGGGGCAGCGCAGCAGCGCCGGACGACGACGACGACGACGAGGAGCTACTGGAGGTGCGTCTGGTGGAGACCCCCGGGCGGGAGCTGTGGAGGATGGTCCCGGCGGGACGGGCCGCCCGGGGACCGGTGGAGCGCACCCAGGGGCCGTCGGGCGAGGGGCCGGCAGCTACCGCCGCCTCCCCGACCCCGTCGGAGGACGAAGAACAGGAGGAAGAAGAGGAGGAGGGGGCGGCAGCGGAGGAAGGCGAGGAGGAGACGGTGGCGTCGGAGGAGGAGCCGCTGGGCTTTCTGACTAGGCTGCCCCCCGGCCCTGCTGGACTGGACTGCAGCGCCCTGGACCGCGACCCGGACCTGCCACCCCCTTCGGGCACGTCGCACTTCGAGTTCCCGGACTACTGCACCCCTGAGGTTACCGAGATGATCGCAGGGGACTGGCGCCCGTCTAGCATCGCCGACCTGGTTTTCACCTACTGAGCCCACCGTCAGCGGGGCGCGCACGCCCCCAAACCAGCTGTTTACATACAGGAATCAGGTATTGGGGCCCCTCGGAGGCCGAGGCTGGCACCCCATCTCCCGCGCAGCCTCCCCCCTCCTAGACGTGCCCATCCCCCCTTTAGATCCAGACTTGCCCTTCCCCCGCAGACACACCCCAAGGCTGCCCAACCCCCACCCCTTCTTTAACATTTACGCCCCTCCCCATCTTGCCCCTTCCCGCACAGCCACCAGCAGCCAGCCCCCCTCCTTTACACCTCCCATCCTTTCCTAGGGACCTGCACCCCTCCCCCATTTTGCACACGCCCCTCCTCGTGGCCGGAGGACACGCCCCCTCCCTTGCTCCAGAATCCCTCCGCCTCTGCCCAGCCCGCTCCTCTCGGTTGTGGGGGCGCTGCGGCTGGGCGGCTCTGCGCGCTCCTCCCATTTTCCGCCTCTCCCGCAGGAGGGGGAGGGGTGGGCTCCTTTCCCCCCTCACAAGGGTTAGGCCCCGCCCCTTCCTCGCGCATGCTTAATGCTTCTTGGGAGGAGGGGGCTGGTCCCAGCCGAGCTGCACGCCTCCGCCTCCTGCTTCGGGAAGGAGTCGGGCGGGTGGAGAACGATCCTGAGAAATCCTTTGATCCGGGAGCCGCGGCTCTTTCTCTCGACCCGACGGGGCATCACTGCCTTAGTGGGAGGAGCACTCGGAAGGGAGTAAATAGACTAGTTGGTCTGGTGGGTAGGTTTAGAACCTGGAGTTCACCTAAGTGGCAGATCCCCTCCTCTCTTAATGGGGTCGCTACACCCACCTGCACCACCTCCCTACTGCCTGACTACACCCACAGCCTATCTTGGTCACCAGAAATGTTTCTTTTTCCCACCTGGGAATTGAGAGTAGGATCTCTCTCTGGAATCCCACTAAGAGAAGGGGCTGCCCAAGAAAACTGAATCAAGACACTGCTAGACTGTTTGGGGACGAATCACCTGCTGCTCCCTCACCCCTGGAGAAATGCCCTATCACTTCAGGGTACCCTCCCGGCAGCTCCTCCCTAAGCTCAACCTCTTTCTATCACCCAAATCCTCTGTCAATACCCACAGCCACAGTATTCGGTGGGAAAACTGAGGCACGTTGGTGCTATGGGGTTGAGACTGAGGCATAACAGAGGGGGTGGCAGGAAGAGCCTCGCTTTTAAACAGCTGGCTTGAGAGGGACCATCATGAACTGGACCCAGTGAAATTGAGAGGGTGCAGTCAGAGCAGTGGAGATGGACCATTTGCACCTCGGTTTTTCCTTGTTAGAAATGGGGGCAGGAGGAAGTGGTGTCCAGTTCAGGGTACTCTCAGGGCCCTGCCCCTGACCTGTAACCCTTTACTCCCAACTCTTGCTGTAGCCCCGCCCCTCCGGCCTCCCCATACCCCTTTGCCCTCACTACCTGTATCTCACCGGCCGTGTGTTTCACCCTCCGGGTGGGCCACACACTCTCATTCACACACACAAATCTCAGGAACAAACGGTCCCAGAGTCCTCCGGGACCCCTGCCTAGGGTCTCTGCAGGTCTCTGCCCCACGCGTTCCCGTCGCTGACAAAGCCACCAGCTGCCTCCTTTAAGCTTGGTGCTCCGGCTCTGGGCCTTTTTTGCGCGCGCGCTCTTTCTCTCTATTTCTCTTTTTTTAAGAAAAACAACAAAAAAGACAATGAAAAAAAATGTTATGTGAGTGAAGAGGTGTCACTGTCTGTGGTCTTGGAGAACTAGTCTCGTAGCTGAGAGGAGGGGGTCCCTCCATCTGGGGCACTGGCACCCACAGCAGGACTTGCGCCAGTCTGATGCCAGGACTGAATAAAATATATTTGCCCCGACTTCGCCTTGTGGTTCTGCATGTCTGTGCTTTTTCTCAACGCCCCCCTGAACAGTTTGCCAAGTTCAGATTCCTATGATTTAGCTACATGCCGGTCCCCTACAGGAAGAACTGGGTGTCCCAGGGTGAGGCACCGGTTGCTCGGCCTCTGGCTCCCCTCTTTCAGAGCTCTGTGGTCTTCATAAAGGATGACAAACATCCTTTCAGGGGCCAGGTAGGTAGCAAATGAGTAAGAGTCTGGGTTCATGACCCACTGGGGAGTGTATGTTTACCTCTTCCCACTTGGAGACTGTGGGAATGGTGACCGCATGGTTGTTGAAGAGAAGCTGGGCATTTCTATGAATCATCTCAATTTAAAAGTGAAAGCTGACTCAAACATCTTTAAATCCCTGTGGCCCAAATGAAAGGAGTGTGCGGGCAGGTCTGGTCCAGGGTGGCCAGTTTGACCCTGCTTTTCATGAGGATTAAGTAGTAGGGTTGAGCCTCTCTGCTCAAAGCCTAGCTTCACTACCGAGCACCCGTATGATCTTGGGCACACCCCTGGCTCTTCCATCTGTGTAAAATGGATAGTAGCTGCTTCACGGGATGAAACAAGGTTTGAAGGGAGAACCCTTTAGCATGGTGCTCCATAAATTGTATTACTCCATTGTCTCCAGAGGAGAAAATGGGTTCAGGATAGTGAAGCAACGTGCATGAGGGCCTGCCGACAGCCAAGGTCAGATACAGGGCCCCGAATCCTCTGTCTCCTGGTGCAGTGCCATTTCAGGGTATTCTCTCTGCCTCTGTACAAACCCGCAGATGTTAGGCCATCACCTTGGGTGATGGAGGTTGGTCGCGGTGCCTGGCACACATTGGCTGGTGTAGCTTTAAATGGCTTAAAACATCCCCACCCCATTCTTCTACCAGATCCAGTGGATTCCTGAACTTGAACAAAGGCTCTGCTTTCCTGTGAGAGCCAAGGCTAAGAATGCACACTTCATTTGGAGAGGATATTTAGGGACTGGGGTTCCCATAAAACAAACGAAACCCACTGCCATTGAGTTGATTTTGACTCACAGCGACCCCCATTAGGTTTCTGAGGCAGTAAATCTTTACGGAGGTAGATTGTCCAGTCTTCCTTCCATGGAGTGGCTGTGGTGGGTTTGAACCAGCAGTATTCTGTTAACAGATGCCTTAAGTCACTGTGCTACCAGAGCTCCTTGCGGTTACTATAGAAGCTTTAAAAGGGAGCTATAGCAGGTTTGGGGCTGGGGGAGCAGGAATTCCCAGACTACTTCCTCAGCATGCCTGGTTGGAAGCAAGATGGCAAACCCTGTAAAAAAGGTAGAGTTGAGATGTGGAAGACAAATGCTACCTATACCCCCCTTCAAAGGAAGCCCTGCCCAACTCTTGGGAAGTACAGGCAGTGGATGGCTTCCAGCTGTAGGCACCTTTCAGGATCTGCCACAGCCACAGAAAGCCACCTCGCCAGAGGTCATGCTCTCCTGTGGCAGCCTGAATCTGGTGTCTGAGTGAGATGAGGCATGAGGGCCTGGCCATTTCCTGTTTCAGCCCAATGTGGGACAGACACCCACAGGCAGCGCTCACCCCAGGGCTCCCAGCAGTGTGGCCAAGGCTTCATGCAGACCAGCGGTTCAACCTTTTCCTGGGCTCACTCCTGCTTCCTCTGTCTTTTCACAGGCGTTTACTCCTAATAAACATCTTGCACCTCAAACTCGGCCTCAGCGTCTGCTTCTGAATTCAGTCTGCAGGGGAAAGTGCAAGGGGCTGGACAAGGGGGATTGGGTCCCTGGCCCAGCAGCTGTAGCTGGTCACCTTGGATGCCCTCAAATTTGGGGTAATCTTCCTTCTCCAATACCACCAGCTGCAACCCTGGGCCTGCACCCTTTCACAATATTTAAACCAGTTGGCATCGGTTGGGAACTCCAGCTCAGCTCACAACCATTCCAGAGCCCTCCAGCTATGCAATTCAGTTCTCACTTGCAGTCCTTCCCTGGTCAAAGCCACATGAGTTCTCACAGCATTGGGAGGGTAGGAAGATTTTCAATCTGTTTGTTCTTCAGAACTCCTTGGGAAGGGAGGAGGGTGGCAGGAGGGTAAAATGCCTGACTGGGAGATAGTTCTAGAGTGCTGTGGGGCCTTTTCCCCATGTGCAAAGTTTTTTGGGGTAAGGGGGATGTTAGAGTAAAAGGAGAAGAGAATCTTCTTTTGTTGTTCTTTCCATTTCAGATTCTAACCTGTGAAAGGTGGGGAAAGACTTGCTTAGGGGGACACACTGGGGACACCTAGTGGCTGAAAGAAGTAGGAAGCGCAAGCTCTCTGCAGTTTGAGGGTGGGAGGAGGTATGTCCAAGTCTCACTCCAATCATAGAGTCATTAGCTCCTCTCTTGCCTGGACTATTTGAGCCATCTTGGCTCTCATACATTGATGTACTAGCTATCTTTTTCTGCCAGCAAATTGCCACAAATTAGCAGCTTAAAACACCACCTATTTTAGCTGGGTGCTCTGCTCAGGGTGTCCCAGGTAGCAATCAGGTGTTGGAGGGGTTGTGTTCCTGGAACTGGGGAACTCGGCATGGCTTTTGGCAGAATTCAGTTCCTTACAGATTCCTGTTTTCTTGCTGGCTGTCAGCTGGTGCTGCTTTTAACTCCTAGAGAGGTTGCTCAACTTTCCTCCCACATGGCCCTCACAGGCCCTTTCACAAGGGCTCACCTGATTAGGTCAGGCCCACCCAGGATAATCTTCCTTTTGATTGACTCCAAATCAACTGATTGGGGATCACATCTGCAAAATCCTTTCATCTTTGCCATGTGATGACAGCTAATCACAATGATATCCATCACATTTCATGGGTGTCACCCACACTCGAGAAGAAATTATGTAGGGTGGTGTGTACACCAGGGGGTGGGAATCTTGGGGATGGTCTTAGAATTCTGCTCATCATAGCTGAGCATTCTCAAGTCTATATCTCCATCCCTGAGACTGCCAAACTTACACCTCTAGCTGCCTTCTCATCTCCACTGGGATGTCTAGTTGGCACCTCAAACTTGACATGTCTAAAAATAAATTCTTGTTTCTACAAGACTGCTCTCCCACCCCACATATTCACATCTCATACCAGTGAAAGGCCAAAACCTTGCAGCCAG